AGGCAATCTAATCTACCAAGACCACTAAAGAAAACCTTTACTACATCTCCATTAGTAACTTATGTCTAACTAGACTAGTAAATTTAGTGTCATAAAAATAACATGATTATGCCCCTTAACAAAAATGAACAAATTTGAATATGAAACCAATTTTGCTATTAATATTGTCTTTTTAATATTTTATTGGATTCATTTTTATAGCTATTTGCCTTCGGTGAAAGATGATACTTCAATTTCTACAATTAAAGGACATGGTACAATAGAGATACGACCTACACAGCTTTATGGAAGGTTGTAAAAGAAGTAAAGATCAAAACCAATTGAGAATACTAAAATTGTATTAGATGGTATGGTTTATATGGGATTTGTGTATATATATAGTTACATAAGCATAATTATAGGAAATCATTTAGATCCTATTGCACTATGCTTTGGTTTTAATTGCTTGAGATACTTTCCCTTTTTCCTTTATTGGTTGTTTCCTTAGTTGGCGAACGTCCTATTTCTGTGCTTTCTAATTTTGAATTTGATTCAACTTCCTTTATAGGTTGCAACTATTTGGTTAATTAGATTTATTTTACTTCTTAATACATTTCATTGCCTCAAATTTCTTTACCTAATTGTTTTTCAAGTTAATGCTAAGGATAAAAGATGGTGCTTAGCCTTTCTACAACTAAACCATTCTAAAGTGCTTTCTTTGTTACAGCAATTCTAATTGAGGGATGAAATACAACTATGATTGGAGAGATGGTTAAACAATTTGGAATTGCTTTCTTTTTTGTTACTACAAATTTGAATTTCTTTGCTTGACTCTATTATTATGGGGGGGGGGGGAATTCATAACTTGGTGTGTTCGTATCTCATTTTGAGGTGAAATTTCCTTTTGCTGCTCTAAATTTGAGAAATGTCTTGTTTGGTACTAGTGAAAATTGGGTATGAGGGCTTCAATTCAAGGCTTGCATCCAACTTATAACCAATTGGTGATAAGTGGAGTAGCATCCTTATATTTAACCCACACACTTCTTTGTTGTAGACTTGATGTTGAATTTTCCCATTCAACATGCCTCCTCACGTGCAAACCCACTATGCATGTTAGGTCTTGTTACATGACTTAATATGCTCCTTTACATGCAAGCTCGGTATTAACTTTAGGTCTTGTTAGGTGGGCTAACAACAAGCTTTTTGAGACAAAACCTGGGCTCTAACATCATGTGAAAATTCTGCATATGTGCTTCAACACAAGGCTTACATCTATCCTAAAACCAATTGATAATAAGTGAAGTTACCTTTCTTATATTTAACCCACATACTTATTTGTTATGCACTTGATAGAGGATGTGTTGAGTGGAAAAGTCCCACATTGAGTCTATAATAAAGATGTAGATTAAATATAAGAAGTGCTACTCCACCTATTGTCAATTGGTTTTAAGTTAAATGTAAGCCTTGTGTTGAAGCCCACATGCATAATTTTTACATGGTATTAGAACCTAGGTTTCTTCTTGGGAAGCCTGTTGTTAGCTCATCTAACATGACCCAAAGTTAGTACAAGGCTTACATGCAAGGGGGTGTATTAAGCCACATGACAAAACCCGATATTCATAGTGGACCTACACATGAGGGGACATATTGAGTGGAAAAATCTCACATCGAGTCTATAACAAAGAATTATATGAGTTAAATATAAGAAAGGCTACTCTACTTATTGCCAATTGGTTTTAGGTTAAATGCAAGCCTTGTATTGAAATCCACATACACAATTCACAAGAGCAATAAATATTCTCCTTATAGTGACCTTAGATCTGGAAGTTCATCTTTCCATTGCTCTTTAAAGAAAAATTTACTTGTATATATGATATACCCAATTTCTAAATGTGTTAATGATTTTTTGTCACTCACCTATTCCACTTTTTGTAACTTTTTTTTACCCCAATTCTCAATTCTATACCTCAAGTATTAGCAGAACATGGAGAGAGAGTATCAATGAAAAATGGGATTCATGCTTACATAAGAATGGCACTTGGAAACAAGTCTCTTCCTCTAGGGAAATCTACTTTGGATTGCAAATTAGTTTTACTATGAAAGTGAAGCCAGACACTACAATGAATTGTTTAAATGCTTAATTGATGGCAAAGAGGACTTACTCGAGTTTGGTCAAAAAGGTTAGTGCTATATCAATAATTTTTAATGCCTATTACCAAATTTGACTTTTTAAACTCTTTAATATTTAGAAAGGTCAAAACAAGTCATATCAAAATGATGCTAGTGGTTGACATAACTATAGTTGACCTATTGGTCAAAGGTAAGCATGATCTACGAACCAAAATATATAAACAAGTTATTTATTTATTTTTTAGGATTATCTTGAGTTTTAATCAAGCTCAAACTTGAGCTGGTTTAGAAACCAAGCTCGAGAGCTCAAAGCTAGATAGAAATGTTTAAACCAACTAGCATGTGTTAAATCTAGCTATCTGAGATAGAGAGATAAAGCTTAGGATAGTTTAATGAACAAGCTTGAGTTTGATCTCAAGTCAAGCTACTCAGTAGCATAGCTTATTATCAGCTATAGCAACTCAAAGAATCAAGTACAAGTTCAAAATCTTACATTCTCAAGGCGACTTGCAACTCTATAATCCTGAGGGCGTGCTGAAGCTCCATAATGCATATGACTGACACACAGCTACAAAATTTAAAAAGATTATTTGCAAAATTTAAAAAGATTATTTGATTAGATCAACAAAAATTGGATTTGTTTATCTTCTTTCGTCTACTTCTCAAGAACTTAAAAGAAAGTGCACAAAGTATTGATTAACAATTAATTTAATTAATTGATTTTCTTCAGAGAGTTTTACCTTAAGGCACGAAATCTTCTTCTATTTAGAGTACCAATTATTCATGGTGGTCTCAACTACGGTGATTCACTCCTTGATTTCTTGAACATCACCACCCATCTTCTTGCTAGAAATAGTAGCTGGAACAAAAAATCTTTTCATCAATTATCATGGAGAGCCCATATTTCTTAAGAGAGAAAAGAATGATAGCTACATTGGCTCCTATGGAGAAGCGCATGATGATGCGATCCAATTGGAGAACTAAAAAAGTATATTCTAAGCTATATTAAAATATAAATAATATTGATATCGAATAAACAAAAATGTTAAATAAAACTTAAGCCTAAATGGAAGTAAAAAATTAAACATTCAAAATGCAACAATATTAAACTATAAACTTAACAATAAATGACAAAGATCATTTTTTTAAGAAAAAAAATTTACAACTAATCATTTAGTTAATTTTTAATTGTTCTTTACTACCTATTTAATTAATCTACTGTTTGCCCAACCTTAGTGCTGGATTGAGTTGATACATATTGTATAGCTCCAAGATATTTTAAAATATAAATAAATTATTAATTAAAATGATTAAGATTGAATTTTTAATTGTTATAAAGTATTGTGCCTATGGTTATTTTAATATTTTACTATAACAAAAACGTTGTCATTGTTTGATAATTGATTTCTAAGGAGTATTATATCTTGAAGTTTAACGACCAACATGGCCTAAAACTCAAAGTTTAGGGACGGAAACAATGATTTAACCTAACTATATGTTGAAGGTGACAGGGCAAAAAGGTAAATAAACTCATGATAGATAAAAGGTTAAACCCCATTTTGGTCCCTGAACTATTGTACGGACCCTTAATTTCATCCCTAAACTTAAAAAATCCTTGATTTGGTCCTTACTGTTTACCATTTTTACCCCAATTTGGTCCTTCCATTAATTTTTTACATTAATTGACTGTCAAATACAGAAGAAACATTACATGTCACACAAAAAATTGCCAAGTTGGCAAAAATAAATGATGTGGCCATTCCAACTCATCCCACCCAAAAAAAAAAAAAAAGTTTTTTTCCTTCCTCCCTTTCATCTACCCTTTCTTCAACTTCTGTAAACCCTAAAATCTCAACCAATTTGTAACGTCTCAACCAATATAGTCATTTCAACCAATTTCTACTCTTACTGGGTTTATCATCATCATCATCAAACAATAAAACTCACCAAAAAAACAAAATTTTATTTAAAAATTTTTTGCTCATGGATTCTTTCAAACCCACCAGGCATGCTAGGTTCAAAGGAACCAAGCACCTAGGTTCAATTGAACCCAGCTACACCCTTTCTTTCTCTTTCCACTTCCTTATCTTGCCTTCTTCATCAATCAATTCTTCATCTTCATCAATCAATTCGTCATCATCATCAATCAACAAAACCAAAAAAATATATATATATACAAAACTCAAACCCAAAAGTCTTGGGTTCGGTGGAACCCAAGTCCGATGGAACCCAAGACTTGGGTTCCTTATAACCTAGTTGCTGGGTTCGAAGGAACCCACGCCTAGGTTTCATCGAACCAAGGTGTGCTGGGTTCCAAAGAACCCAGTTGCTAGGTTTGAAGGACCCAAGCACACTGGGTTCGACCGAACCCAACGCATGGGTTTTAAGGAACCCGCACCTAGGTTCCATCGAACCTAGGCATGCTAGGTTCCTTGGAACCCAAGCATGCTGGGTTCCATCAAACCTAAGTGTGTTGGGTTCCAAGGAACCCATCTGTTGGGTTCCAAGGAACCCATCTGTTGGGTTCCATGGGAAAGATTCGAAGGGGAAAGAAAAGGGGAAGGGGAAAGAGAAAGGGAAACAAAAGGAAAAAGAAAAAAAAAAGGAATTTACTTTTTAATTATTTATTTATTTTTTATATTATTATTTTTCCATGTCATCACTTTTTTGTCATCTTGTCTTCCACATGTATTAATATTTGACATGTCATCTTGTAACAGTGAACTAATAGGCCTCGTCATCAGAATTTAAAACGAAAGGACCAAATCGGGTAAAAATGGTAAACAGTAGGGACCAACTCAGGAATTTTTAAGTTTAAGGGCCGGGTCCGTTTAGGACCAAAATGGGGTTTTAACCTAGATAAAATGATAAATGAGGGTTTCTGGGTTTCGGCTCAGAGGAGGATTGACGATTAAAAGAAACTTGCAACGAGCTCGTTGAATCTGAGGATTTGTTTGGGGATTGGTCTCACTTCCTACGGCCAGATTGAGGTAGTTCTTCTCCTATTTCTCTCTATATCTGGGGGCGATCTATTCCTAATTTAATTTCTGGATTTGTTATTTACCCATAATTTGGTGTGTGTTATTATTTTAGTAACCGAACAGTTTATTTCTTGGTAATTTTATGGTTATTTAGAGTCTGCTGTTGATGTGCTGATTTTTATTCTTGTTAGGTGCTTGTTTTTATTTCCCGTTTAATTGTACAAATTGGGGGATTTTGCTTGTTAGGGTTGAGCCATGGCGTGGGCGAGGGGCATGAGTGATGCTTTTGTCGCTGGGTTCACTTTAGGAAGGAGACTCTCTATGAAAGGTGGCAAATTTGAGACCAACGCTAAGGAATTTAAGCAGAAACATAAATTTATTGTTAGAGGCAAGGTTATATTAGCTTCCTTACAACTTGTATTTTGTTCTTGATTGCTACACATGCTGGAGTGCGTGGGTCCTCAATCTCTGAGCCCCAGGTATAAGAATTAGGAGAAGTGTTTTGGTTTTATTTTTTCATTGTTCTGATGTAATTATATTTGGTTAAACTTAGCAATATTTGATGCAGTTGAAGCACATGGAAAGCACTACAACTAACTTCAATTTTCTGCATTCAAAAGCTGCATAAGTCCTTCAGGAGGTATTATGAATAAAAGTGGAATGTCAAACCTTCTTGTTATGCTTTTCATTTTGTTACTTATTATATCTTATGTTGTTTGCGTTCAGGTCATACATGCAAAATAACACCAAGTGAGGGTTGTAAGAAGGTAATGTTCGGGGTACAGCTTCATGGCAGGTTGTAATTCTGTTATTTATTAGATTTATTTTATATTCTTAGATGCATTTCATGTACCTCACAAATTCCTTAATAATTTTATTTTTCAGGAATAGTAACACCATGTTGATGATATTGCTTTGCCTCTTTCACATGGAAAGGAAAAGAGGTGGAAGGATAACTAGAAATTTTGAGTGTTTATTGTTTATTAGTATAGTTTTCTTTTGCTGTTCCTGTTCTGAGTTTGAGAAGCCTCTTTTGTCAGTTACTTGGAGATCTAGGGAGTGTTTTCCTTCCTTCTTTTTTTTTTGTGTGGATGAAATGTGAATTTTCATTTATCCAAAACTAAGGAGTGTTTTTTGTTTATTCATGTTCAAAAGTTGCTGAAAATTGGCGATAAAGGGACAGAAATGTGGGATGCCAAATTGGGATTAATTTGGAAAGTCTACTTGGTATTAGCTTTTTAAAGTGTAATTTGACTGTAGATTGCTTGATGTATATGAACCTTTGAAATCTTGAATCTTATTCTTACCTTGGTCTAAAACAGTGAGGAAGTGAGGGATTTTTAATGAATGTTGGATGAAGGAACCCATGAAAGATTGTTTTCTGTCAATGTGTGGGGTTTCTAAAATTGATATCCCTGTTAGGATGTATCTCTTGTTTAGTTTGGTTCTGTATGTAAGTGAGAAAAGAGATGAAAATAAAGTGGAAGAGAGAGGGTAGAGGAGAAAAGAGAAATGGATGACACTTGCATTATTTTGTTTTGAACCATCTTGTATGCTTGTGTTTTGAGTTTGAATGGTGGAACATTTATGAAAAGTTGAACTTGGAATCTTTGGTGGTAACTAATCTCTCTTGCATTAACCAATTTTTGGACTTTGGTGCATTTAATCTGTCACATGTATCTGATTAGACCTCTTTTGAATTGTTCATTAGGGTAATAAATGGAACGCTTAAGTGGTCGGGATGTGTGTGTCCATGGTATGAGTTGCATGCATTTTGATGTTAGGGGCTGTTTGTGCCAGCAAACCACTCTCCAAAATTAGGTGACAGGATTTGGTTGAAAATTGGCTTGTTTTTGTTCAATGATGTTATTGTTTTCCATTTTTCTTTTTCCCTTTTTTGGCCTCCGTTCATTGAAATTGTTTGAATTTCAGGAATATGTAACAATTATTTACATATTTTGCCTCCTAAATTCCCTTTTTCGTTGTTGCACGATTATCATGTTGAAGGTTTTTTTTTTTGAAGTTTGCTATTGTTCATGGGGGAGAGTCGGAGCGGAAGGCGCTTGAAAATACTAGGGGATTGAAGTTTGCGAGACTTTTTGGGAAATAGAGTTGCAAATGTGGTAGCTTCGTTTTGTCACTCTCAATTATTTGGTTACTTAAGATCACCTGAATCGGTATAGAATTGTATTAAAGCAAACCTTAATTTTTCTTGTTTTATAATTTATACCCTTAACCCTCCCCCC